GCTGTAAGTAGAGCTAACTACATGCATATGCACAGTAGCAGAATACTCACTCCCTATTCAATCACATTGAAAGTGTACTGTCCAGCCCTATATAGCCTCACATACCTACATGTTTATTTAAGGCTAGCCCTGGTGATTCATGCAGGTCTACATCTACAACAATTGTATGCTAACCACAGAATGCATACAAAAGTCACATGCATGACTGATAAAGGAGTTTACCCAATAATTTGGCTATTATGATTGCAATGCATTTTAGATAGTACAAGAATATGGGATAATCCATACCCTGGAATGGTGAGGCTTCAAGATGGGGATTACACTGGTCAAGGAATAGTACAGGTATATTGTAACAATGAATGGGCTGCAGTCTGTAATGATGCTGATGATGTTATGGATGACACTGGATGGACTGTATGCACTCAACTTGGTTACAATGCTTTTGATGTTGATGCAACGAGCTAGTAAGTTGATAATAGCTTTGTAATACTTTTATTATTATTATGACACCTAGTACCGGCAAAGCATGGTTGAATAATGTGGATTGCAGCACCGATGATCCTGATAAAGATGTGCCAAGTTGTTTGTCTAAATGTTCTGGAGGTAAATGTCCTTCCAGTACTTTCTCATGCCGTACTGCTCTCAATGTAACTTGTGGTAAGTTCATTATTATAAGAAACACTCATTTATGTATTTTTATTCATTTTATAAGCACATGGTATTAGATTTGATCCAGGTGGTATCCAAGATGCTTGTTGTAAGTTTGAAAATAAAAAGAAGTAGCTAGTTTTGTTTTTCTAGTTGCTCATGGTTTAAGTGTTGGAGCTATTGCTGGCATTGCAGTGTCTGGTTGTCTGGTTGGATTTATAATTTTAGTTATACTTGCAACATTGTGTATTTGCTGCTGTAAAAGATGCTGCAGTGCTCCAGCCCCTGTTCAAGGAAGGTCCACAGAAAGAGATAATGTCCTAAATAGAAGAAATAATGCTACTAATTACTCAAGAGTTTGATAGTAAAATTGCTGAGTTTGCTGCTGTCCATTTGTAAAATGCATGTCTTTCTCCCCTTGTTTGCTGACTAGTAATTATTAAATGCATGTATCTATTTTTGTTAAAACTTTATTTGCTGATATTATTCCTTGAGTTGCTTGCATTATTATGGCCCTTTTTAGTTTTCACTGAATTATTGCAAGAATGTATAAAATTGTAAATACATTATATAATTGTTGTGAGTGGTCATGCAAGAGTATTTACACTGAAATATCATACTGATGGTGTCACGTGCCTTTTTCATTTCAATACCACAATTCATTCATTGCTTAATTGTTTAGTATTAATTTGTACACTACCAATTTCTACTCTTTCCCTCTCTGTCTTTGTCAATCAAATGATAGAACTGATGAAGATTATTGATCTTACTGTAAGTTTTACAGTATATAAACACTGTAGCCACTTCAAAAGGATTGTATATGTAGATAAAACAGATTCTTTATTATTTACAAACATCATATAATCACTTATTGATTATTAAAAATTATAGTAATAATAATAATAATATAAAATTAGACTCTATGATCTTTGAGTAGGTGAAGTTCTCAAACTGGTAAATAATGCCTATGGAAACAATGAATAATAGTAGTCAAATCACTATCACGATAGTTGTTACTACTACTATCCCGATAGTGAAACTATCACGATAATATAGCTTTCTTGTTAACAAATAGTTATAACTATTAATAACGAAAGTCAAAAGGAAGTAGTACATGTATATACAGGCTGTAGGAACTTCCCATCTCTTGCTGGAAAGCCAAGATGCTTCCAAATGTCGCTTTTGCTTCCTTCTAGAGGAAGAAGGTCCATCCCTTCAGATGCTATGTCTAGATATCAGCTGCTATCCTGCTACATGTGG